CGCCTGCCACGCCCCGCGACCCTGGGACAGATAGAGAGACCAGTGAGAGACCACCCCCTGCGCACCCTCTCTGGTGTCGAGAAAGTGCCACGCTTGCCACGCCCCGCGACCCTGAGACGGATAGAGAGACCAGTGAGAAACCACCCCCTGCGCACCCTCTCTGGTGTCGAGAAAGTGCCACGCCTGCCACGCCCCGCGACCCTGAGACGGATAGAGAGACCAGTGAGAGACCACCCCCTGCGCACCCTCTCTGGTGTCGAGAAAGTGCCACGCCTGGCACGCCCTGCGACCCTGAGACGGATAGAGAGACCAATGAGAAACGACCCTCTGCGCACCCTCTCTGGTGTCGAGAAAGTGCCACGCCTGCCACGCCCCGCGATCCTGAGACGGATCGAGAGACCAGTGAGAGACCACCCCCTGCGCACCGTCTCTGGTGTCGAGAAAGTGCCACGCCTGCCACGCCCCGCGACCCTGAGACGGATAGAGAGACCAGTGAGACACCACCCCCTGCGCACCCTCTCTGGTGTCGAGAAAGTGCCACGCCTGCCACGCCCCGCGACCCTGAGACGGATAGAGAGACCAGTGAGAGACCACCCCCTGCGCACCCTCTCTGGTGTCGAGAAAGTGCCACGCCTGCCACGCCCCGCGGCCCTGAGACGGATAGAGAGACCAGTGAGAGACCACCCCCTGCGCACCCTCTCTGGTGTCGAGAAAGTGCCACGCCTGCCACGCCCCGCGACCCTGAGACGGATAGAGAGACCAGTGAGAGACCACCCCCTGCGCACCCTCTCTGGTGTCGAGAAAGTGCCACGCCTGCCACGCCCCGCGACCCTGAGACGGATAGAGAGACCAGTGAGAGACCACCCCCTGCGCACCCTCTCTGGTGTCGAGAAAGTGCAACGCCTGCCACGCCCCGCGACCCTGAGACGGATAGAGAGACCAGTGAGAAACCACCCCCTGCGCACCCTCCGGTGTCGAGAAGTGCCACGCCTGCGCCCCGCGACCCGGGACAGATGAGAGACCAGTGATAGAGACCACCCCCTGCGCACCCTCTCGTGTCGCGAAAGTGCACGCCTGCTACCACGCCCCGCGACAGAGAGACCAGTGAGAGACCAGGCTTGAAAAGGACGTGGCTTGTCGGAGAAAAGTGCCCAAGCGGTGCCACGCCCCTGACGCATCCTGAGACGGATATGAGAGAACCAGTGAGAGACCACCCCCTGCGCACCCCCTCTGTTGTCGAGAAAAGGCCACGCCTGCCACGCCCCCGCCCCGTAAACGGATAGAGAGACCAGTGAGCTAGACCACCCCCTGCGCACCCTCTCTGGTGTCGAAAAGTGCCACGCCTGCACGCCCCGCGACCCTGAGCCGGATAGAGAGACCAGTGAGAATATCACTCCCCTGCGCACCCTCTCTGTGTCGAGAAAGTGCCACGAACTTGACACTCCCCGCGAACCCTGAACCGGATAGAGAGACCTGTGAGAACCCCCCCCCGCACCCTCGTCTTGTGTCTGAGAAAGTGCCACGCCTGCCATCACGCCCCGCGACCGCTGAACGGATAGAGAGACAAGTGAGAGACCACCCCCTGCGCACCGCACCCTCTCTGGTGTCGAGAAAGTGCCACGCCTGCCACGCCCCGCGACCCTGAGACGGATAGAGAGACCAGTGAGAGACCACCCCCTGCGCACCCTCTCTGGTGTCGAGAAAGTGCCACGCCTGCCACGCCCCGCGACCCTGAGACGGATAGACCAGTGAGAGACCACCCCCTGCGCACCCTGTCTGGCGTCGAGAAAGTGCCACGCCTGCCACGCCCCGCGGCCCTGAGACGGATAGAGAACCGCGGTGAGAGACCAACCCCTGCACGTGTGTGTGGTGTTTGCCTGTTTGCTGCGTGTGCGTGCTGTGTCTGTTTGTGCTGGTATTGTGTACGGGTGCTGTTTGTGTGCTGTGTGTCTGTGTGCTGCGTGTATGGTGGATGTATGTGGTGACTGTGATGTCGACTGTGGATGTGTGTCTGCTGTGTGCTCATGTGTCTGCTTGTGCTGATGTGGGGAACCAGAAAAAGAGAGAGGGAATCATCACACCAGCCCCTGGATGTGTGGAGGGAAGAGGGAAGGAGGGGTGAGGAGGAAGAGGAGAAACGCGGGTGCGACGCGGCAGGGAAAGAAAACCAGAACCCCACTATGCATGTGGGGAAAAACGGTCTCCAGGGGTCGACCTGCAAGGCGTTTTGGCGACGTCGTGGGCCGTTTTCGTTTCGCTGCCGTCCTGCAGCACCGGCGGACCGAAGCCAAAGCGGGGGAGAGGACGAGCACAGAACGAAAGCACGAACCACACCGCCCGGGTCGATCCCCGCCACGCCGTGCCCACTGCATCTGCAGCTCGCCCGCCCGCTTCTCCCCTTCCCCCGTCCGTGCCCGCTGCGGCCGTGTCGCCGAGGCCCGCCGCGGCGCCAAACGGCCGACCCGACTGCGCTCTCTGCCGCGACGCGCGCACGTGCCCCGCTCCGGCCCTCCCTCCCCTCTGGTCCCCGCTCCGAGTCCGCAGCGCCGCGCCCCGACTCCCTGTGGAGGAGGAGGAGGAGGAGGAGGAGGAGGAGGAGGAGGAGGAGGAGGAGGAGGAGGAGGGAGGAGGTGGAAGGGAGGAGGTGGAGGAGGGGGAGGAGGGGGAGGAGGGGGAGGAGCAGGAGGAGCAGGAGGTGGAGGAGGAGGGGGAGGAGGCTCCCCCAGCCCTAGTCCTCCCCTCGTCCCCCTGCCGTTGCCAAGCAGCCCTCCTGTGTAGAGTTGGGCGTCTCGCTTCCCTCTCTCTCTCTCTGTGCATCTGCTCGCCGCCCCCCCCCGCCCGTTTCGTTACACACGCACGCACACACACGCACACACACACACACACGCACACACACAACGCACACACTACACACATATCTATATATATATATATATATATAATATATTATATACACACGCACAAACCACACAAACACACCGTCGCACGCACGCACGCACGCACACGCACACGCACACACACACACACACACGCACACGCACACGCACACACACACACACACACGCACACACACACACACACACACGCACACACACACGCACACACACACACACACGCACACACACGCACGCACGCACACACACACACACACACACGCACACACACACACACACACACACACCTACCTCACGCGGATCGCGCACCATAGGGGGCTCCACCTGCCAGCCCCAGGGAGGGCGCCGCGGCATAGCGCTGCCTCGCCCCATGCTGGCACACCTCTCGCGCGCCTCTGCTCTCAGAGGGGGCTCCACCCACGGCCCCACGGAGGGCGCCCGCGCAGCGTCCCCCCTGCGCCCACGTCGGCACACCTCGCACCTGGAGCGCGCCCCATAGAGAGAGCTCCACCCGCGGCACTGGTGAGGGAGCAGGGCTGTGCCTAATTGAACGGTGTTTTGGCGATTTCGTGGGCCGTGTTCGTTTCGACGTCGTCTTTCGGTAGCTGCGGATGGAAGCCACAGCGGGGGGAAACGAAGAGAAAGCAGCACGAGAACGAAAAACACCGTTTAGGTTCAGCCCCTTTGAGTGAGCCCAACAGCGTCACCCCGCCAATGTCGGCACACCCCTCAGACGTGTCGCGCTCCGTCGCTTGTTCCATGTGCGGCCCCAGGGAGGGCGCCCGCACAGCGTCGCTCCGCCCCCCCTCACTCAAGGGAGGAAGAAGCCCCCGGACAGGGCAATCGGCGTTTACTGAGCGGCCCTGGACGTTCACTAACCAGCCCTGCCCTGTCTGATGCCTTCTTGGGGCGCGTTTGCGAAACGTCTTCGCGTGTCGGGGTTGTCACTATCGGGGTGGAGGCGAGGACACGGATGAATCATTCCAGAGCGTTCCGGAACGCCCTCGCAGCGTTGCGGAACGCTTTGAGGAGACGGCGGGGCCCGATGCATCCTCCAGAAGGGCCGGAGTTCCGAGATCCCCGATGTGTCTCGAATTGTCTTCGTGTCCTGGCCTCGTCTCACTACACCTACTTCTGGGCGCCTTCTTTCTTTGATGAATGACAGTCCTGAGACTGAAGTACGGTGGGGGCGTTCATGTAACCAGGAGGCTTCAGACTCTGAAGGATTCTTTATCTGACGAGGGTGGCAGGAGGAGGAGGAGGAGGAGCAGGAGGATGAGCAGGAGGAAGAGCAGGAGGAGAAGCAGGAGGAGGAGGAGGAGGAGGAAGAGCGGGAGAGGAGGAGGAGGAGGAGGAGGGGGAGGAGGAGGAGGAGGAGGGGGAGGAGGAGGAGGAGGAGGAGGAGGAGGAGGAGGAGGAGGAGGAGGAGGAGAGGGAGACTGAAGACAGCGAGGAAGCCAGCCCTGGGGGCGGAGACGGTGCCGCGCATTCGGGCGCCCCGCGCCGAGAAGCTCGAGGCGTCGGATGCCTTGGCACGGCGCTCCAGAGGGGCCTCACCTTCGGCCGTCTTGGGGCCTCCTTTCGGGCCGGACGAAAGGGGGGGATTGGGAAAGGGGGGGCTACGAAATTTGCTGCATGCAGCTGGTTTCGGCCCCTCCGAGGGGCCCATTCCTCGATACATAGCCGCCTTCGGCGCCGGGAGGCGCCGGGAAAATCAGCTACGTGAGCTGATTCTCAAGCCCCCCTTTTGCTATCCCCCCCTTTCGCCCGACCCGATCCTTGGGGGCTTCTTGGTTCCTCTTGGAGCGATCTTGGGGGCCTCTCGAGACGTCCTGGACGCTGTCCGGTCCAGAAGCACGAGCATGCCAGACATGCAGGTGTCCCTTCTGGACTGGGGCGGTGTTTGCTTCGTGTGCCCTCTTGGGCAGTTTCGAGGCACTCTTGGCTGCTTCGGGCCTCCTCGGCACGCTAAGGCACAGCTATGAGCCAGCTCAGAGGGCACCTTGGCCACCTGGGAGGCCACGAAGTGTCGATCTTGAGTCTGATCCGATGTCAGCCCCCTGCAGGGGGAGGGGTACAGGCCGGGGGAGGGAGGGACAGCCAAATATCCCACACGCCTCTGCACAGCCATTCGGCTCGAGTCGCCCACTTGGGCGAGGCGCCCCTGCGCGGCGCTGCAGGATCCCCACGCGTTTGAGGCCGGCAGGCATGGAGAACCTCGCGGGCGGCAATCTCCCCACCGTCGGCGCGCAGCGGCCAAGGCCAGCGTTGGCATGGGCGGAGGCACCCGGCGCGGCGCCCGCACCGAGGCATCAAGCAGTGGCGAAGCGTCCCTGGCTCGCCTAGAGGCCCACCAAATTGTGTTTTAGGAACCTCTTGTGGCTTGCAAGAGACGTTCTCAGAACGGCTCTGGCCGGGACTGCCTTGCTTTCGCACAGCGGGCTTGTGCTCTGAGAGCACTGCGATTGCTCTTGGAACCTTTTGGGGCTCCAAGGATCAGCCACGCGCAAAGGGGGATGGGGGGAGGGGGGGAGTTCTTTCTTTAGAAGCAACCCCCGCGTCTTAGAAGTGCGCGGCCTGATTTATAGATGGAAGCCGAAACCGTCTCAGAAGGCATCCTGCTTTTGAGCCTGGACCTCCCCCCACCCTCTCGTGCGCGCCGCCAAAAGGACACGTCGCGGTAGGCCTCTGGGAGTGCCGGGGCGGTCGGCCCCTGCTCCACCAGGCCGCCACCGAGCCCCCGCGCGGGCCGCGGGCGCCCCCGCGGCGGCAGGCGCGGGGTGGCCGCGGCGCCCGGGCCCGGAGGCCTCGGGCCCGAGGCGGTCCGCAGGCCCCGGGGGCTCCGGCTGCCCGAGATCGCGGCCTCCTGGCACCTCGGAGACGCCTCCAAGATGCAGAGGCTCGTCACGGGCCGAGAGCCCCGCCACGAGCCTCGCCCGGGCGGCGCCGCAGCGGCCCTTCTCGCGGCCCAGCCTCTCGCGGTGCCCCTCCTGCCCGGAGCGGAGCCGGCCGGAGCCGAGGCCGGGAGCGACCAGTCGAGCGACACCGAGTCGGAGAGCGACACCGCCCGCAGGCCGACCGCCCTCGACGACCGCCGCGGGATCCCTTGCCGCGCGGGCGCGAGCCAGTGGGGCGGCGAGCCTGCGGAGCCCACGCGCGGGGGACAGCAGCCTCTGCTGCCTCCTCGTCCTCCGGAGGATCGGCGGCGAGCGAGGGGGGAAGTGAGGAGGAGAAGGCCCTCTCAAATGGCGGCGGGGCTTCCCAGAAGCCCTCGCGCCTTCTGAGAGGTTCCCTGCGTCGTCGGGGAAGGCTTAGAGCCCTTCGCAGAAGGCCGGGGGACTTCCGCGCCTTCTGCGAAGGCCTTTTCCCCAGACCCCCGACGTCGTGACCTTTACACAACGTCGACCCCCAGAGGTCTGGACCCCGTCCCCGGGACCGGCTTTTCATCCTAGTCGCTTTTTGGACGCCCCCAGGGCCCATCAATTGCCCCCGAGGCCGAAAATAGCGAACAACCTCCCGCCAGGTTTTTGTTCACGACGCGGGGGGGGAGGATTAGGAGGACGAGGAGGAGGAGGAATAATAAGAATAATAATAATAATAATCATAATAATAATATTAATAATAATAATAATAATAATAATAATAATAATAATAATAATAATAATAATAATCTTAATACTAATAATAATACTAAAGAGAAACATACAAATAATAATAAGAAGAAGAAGGAGGAGAAGCAGACGAAGGAGTGAGGAGGAAGAAGTGAGGAGTAAGGAGTGAGGAGGAGGAAGGAGTGAGGAGGAGGAGGAAGGAGCGAGGAGGAGGAAGGAGTGAGGAGGCAGCGCCGCGCCCCTCCCTCCGGGGCTCGCCGCCGACAGGAGGCGCCCGCCCGGGCGCGCCCCCGCGGCGCCGGGAGGCCGCTGTCGGCGAGGGGGGGCAGGCGCCCGCGCACGATCGGCTGAGCCTCGGCTGCTCGTCGGCGGAGGGCGCGGCCAGCCGGGCTTCGCTCTGTCGGCCCAGACCCCCTCGCGTGGTTCAGGAGGGGAAACAACACACACACAGACACAATGCATGGTCGACTCCTCGAAGATATGCGGAAATGTGGGGAGTGGGGGGGGCAGAAGCCCAGAACATATCGGAATGCATGGGGAATCCTTTTATTTGTGTCTATTTGTTTGTGTGTTTGTGGGCCCCTTCAGTGCTTGAAGCAAGCACCACAGCGGGAGGCTTTTCGCTACTTCCGGCCCCTGGGGGGCGGCACCCGGGCCTCGGCACCGTCAAGGAACGGCTCGGGAGGAGGAGCCGGTCCCGGGGATGGGGCGTCCAGACCTCTGGGGGTCTCGACGCCGTGCCAAAGAAGGATCACGACGTCGGGGGTCTGGGGCTTGCCGCCGCGGCAGCTGCGGGGAGCGGTGTGCCCTGAGGTCCTGGGCGACTCGACTTTTTTGAGAGCCGGGCGTTTTCGTACTTTTTGTGCGGGCCCCAAGGCCCTCAAGGTGGGGTCTGGGGCGAGCTTGATTTTTTTGGCGAGGCGTACGGTAACTGTTTTCGCAGCGTCGGATCCTACCTTGCCATGCAAGCGGCGCAGTGGGCTCATGGTCGCCGTAGTGCGCATGTGCTTGCTGGTCCCTGGCACGCTTTGAAGCGATCTTGTGATCTCTTCCTCATGTTCAGGTTTATTCCAGGTTCTAACCTACGATCGGTTGTTCCTACTGTACGGCTTGACGACGGTGGGGCCATCTTGGGCTGGGTGCGGCCCGTGTTGGGCCGTTTGGGGGGCCACATTAGAAAGTCTTACTTAAGCCCGTTTCGGACGAGGGCCCGATTTGGCTTCAGGCCCGTTTCGCTTTTAGCCCGTTTCGGCTTCTGCCCGTTTCGGTCACAGCCCGTTTCGGTTTCGGCGCGTTCCGTCTCGGCTCGTTTCGGCTCCGCCCGTTTCGGCATCGGCTCGTTTCGGCTTCGGCCCGTTTCGGCTTCGCCCGTTTCGGTTTCAGCCGGTTTCGGCGTCGACGGGTTTCGGCTTACGATTATGTGAGTTGTTTGTATGACAAGGACGATTCGTTAATGTGGTACGAGAGGGTGGTTCGTATGATACGAGAGAGCGTTTTGTTGCGACAGCTGTTCTTAGGACGGCGCGCCTTTTTTATGCTGGGGCGGAACTTCGCAGTAGAGCCTTGGCGAGATCGACAGCGTTGTGGAGGCCATGAACGCAGTAGGTGCATGGACGCAGTTTTGCAACACATCCATACATCCGACAGGCCTTCCTTGATGGCGGGCATCGATCGGCGGGGTGGTGTGTTGTGACTCGCGGAGCCGCGGTGAGATCAATGGCAGGAGTTGGAATCAGCAGTAGTTCTCAACCATGCTGTGGTGCAGTGCTGGGTCCTCGTTTCGAAAAGACAGCGCCCCGCGTTCCTCCTCCTCCTCCTC